GCCGCCCACGCACCAACCCACCACCGCCAGGCACGGGCGCCCACCCACGCCCCGCCCCGCCACCGCCAGGCACGGGCGCCCACCCACGCCCCGCCCCGCCACCGCCAGGCACGCGCGCCCACCCACGCCCCGCCCCGCCACCCCCCCCGCCACCACACACACGCCCCACGCACGTCCTTGACCGTCATGGGCGGCGGCAGCTCGTCGACTTCGTCGTCGTAGAAATCAATCGTCTCCACTACCGCAAACTCGTACCAGTCCACCGACAGCATGGCCTCGCGCTCCGCCTCCTCGCGCGCCGCACGCGCCTTGGCCTCCTTCTCAGCCACGCGCTCCCACTCCATGCGCTTGAGGGCGCGCTCCAGGATGACAGACCTGGGGGAGGGGTGATGGGGGAGGCGCGTGTGTATGTGTGTGTGTGTGTGTGTGTGTGTGTGTGTATGAGAGTGTGGTGGGTCGCAGTCGCATGCAGAGGGGGCCTGGCAGCGGGCGCGGCAGGGCCCAGGGGCAGCGGCCCTGGCCCCCTGCCGGCCCCCCACACCCCACACCCCACCCCACACCCACCCCTCCCGCACCCACCTGTCCGCCACGTCCTTCTCCAGGCGTGCGCGCAGGTCCTTGGGCGGCATGAGCACGCGTGAGTAGGCGTCGCAGAGGGAGGTGAAGAAGGAGAAGAGGGAGTGGGTGGGCTTGAGGAAGTTGAAGGCCGGGTTGGCGTGCTCGCGGGAGGCCAGCCCTGTCAGAAAGGCCTTGCCGTTGCGCGCCACAAACTGGGCGGTCATGCGGATGGTGTCCAGGTCGAGGGAGGTGAGGCCCTCGGGGATGTGGGACGTGTACTGCTCCTCCTCGGGAGCCTCCAGAGGCTTGGTGGGAGGCAGCGCGGGCTTGGGCTTGTCGGGGGCGGGCGCCGGCGCAGGCGCGGGGGCGGGGGCCGCCGGCGCGGGCGCGGCGGCGGCGGCGCCAGCGGCGCCCTCCTGCGCCTTCTCCGCCCCAAACTCCGCCACCTGCGCAGGCCGTGGGCAGCAGAGGTGGCAGCGGCACGGTGAGCCGAGCCTCGCAGCCGCGCACTTTATTTCCTATTGTTAATTGAGAGTTGGGAGGAGGCTGGGGGCTGCCTCACAGGCGCGCGGGCCGCCCACCTTCTGTCGGTAGTATGCGTTGTAAGGGTCGCCATCCTTGAGGAAGTTGAACTTCTGGTTGTTGATCTCGTTGGCAAGGATGCGTTTCTCAAACTCCACGCCTGCAGGCGGGGGCGGGCGGGGGTGGCGGCAGGGCGTGCCGATGCTGAGCGGCCAGCGAGCGCACAGCAGCAGCTGCAGAGGGTACCCAGCCACGCCGGCTGCTGGAGCGCTGCGCAGCAGGGCAAGGGGTGGGGGCAGCCGGGCAGGCGGCAGGAAGCGGCAGGGACTTGCCGTTGCGTCCAACAAACTGTGCAGTTTTGTCCACAATTGCCTGCATGGACAGTGGCACCCACACATGCCACACCATGTGAGCTGGAAGCGAGTCTCAGCAGCATGTGGATGCGGCAGGTGGCGCATCGCCCCGGCCTCCCCAGCGGCGGCAACCCCAACACCAGCGCTGCCGCCCAAGCCACACATCTGTCCACCCTCCCACGGATCATCACGGATCCAGTGAGACAGCCAGCATCGCAGGCAACAGCAGGAGGATGCACTGCAGCAGGCAGAGCTGCAGCCGGTGCAGGCGGCAGAAGCGGGAGGCGGCGCCAGTTGTGGCCGAGGCGGCTCTCACTCACCCTGATGTCCGGCGGCGGCAGGATCACGCCGATTGCCTTTGTCTGCGTCTCCACAGCCCCGGGGAGAGCCGACTTGGCCTGCCCCACGGCCACAATGGCCCCGCCGTTCTGCATCGCCGGTTCCCCTGAGGCAGGCGCCTAGTGGCAGCTGATCCCGAGTGCCTGGGCCGCGACCAGCCCCGCTGCTGCTGCTGGAGGGTCGGGAAAGGGGAGTGCAGCCAATCACTGCATGATGAGAGGTGGAACTAGTCTGCTGCAAGATCAGGCAACGCTGCACAGAGCTTGTAGGCTGCGCAGGCTCTTCTTGTGGCCAGGAGAGCACAAATCACGCGCAGCAGGAAGCGAAGAAAAACGCTCACCTGCGATCCTTTCCGGCCTCAATTCTCATGCTGAGCCATTGCCCAATCCTCCAGGAAGTGTCACTCCTCCCGCCGCTCCTGCCCAGCGCCCAGGTTGACGGGGTTGCACAGTTTGTGCGCCTCACAGCCTGTACCCGGGCTTAAACAGTGACACCTGCAGCCAGCCAGTCCCTCACGAGGAACCGTAGCAGCAGCGGGGCAGCGCTGCGCACGGGAACAGCATGAGCGGCGGCGGCGCGCTCCAGCGCCTGGCGGCGCGCATCACCTGGGCGCTGTTCAAGCGGGAGAGGGTTGGAGTGGACGAGCTGGGCAACATCTACTACAGGTGAGCTGCTGTGGTCAAGCAGGCGTCGGACAGGAGCGGCGTGGCACCCCGCCTGCCCCACCCCGTACCCCGCCTTGCCCACAGAAAGCTGGAGAGGAGCGCGGATGGGGAGGAGGTGGAGCGGCGGTACGTGAAGTACTCATCCACTATCGACCCCACCTTACTGCCGGCGGAGTGGCATCAGTACCTGCACCGCGCCCGCCCCGAGCCGCCCAGCCAGGACGACATCAGGCGCGGCCAGCACCAGCGGGAGCTGTTCAGGCAGCGGGTGGCGGCGCTGGAGGCAGAGGACGCGGCGCGGCGCTTCCAGGAGCAGACGGGCGGCGGCGGCGGCGACGGCGGGTTTGTGCAGCAGCTGCCAGAGGGGGAGGCCAGCCAGCCGCGATGAGGCGGCGGGCGCCCTGCTGGTCTGTGTGCTCGTTTCTGACCCCTGCTATCAACACTCTTTCTCTGTAGCTTGCTCACCCCCTGCGCTCCTTCCTTTTGTCACTCTGCTGCTGCCAATTGCCGCTGCTGCTGATTTTGTTTACTCTGCATATCACTCCTATATGTTTGCCTTGCCGTAATGAATCTGCTCACTGAGAGGCACAAGAACCTCGTCATGCGCAGCCCAGCCTTTCTGCCGCTGCAAAGTATGCCAGCAGGCCGGTCAGCTGCAGGGCGCACACCAGCGCCCACTTGCCAGCGCCGCTCCTGCGCGCCCGGCCGGCTGGCGTGCAGGCAGCCTCCACCTCACCACCCGCAGCGCTGCCGCCACCGATGCCCCTGCCGCCACCCTCCAGCCGCCCCAGCCGCTGCCGCAGCGCCTCCACCTCCCCCTGCGCCGCTGCCAGCGCCCGCCCCAGCTGCTCGGGTGTGCGCTTAGCGGCGTTGGCCTGCACGCTGTTTTGGATGCCCTGCACGCAGGCGCACAGCAGGCACAGCAGCCCACCGCGCTTTAAGCTGCCCCCCCATCTCCGCCTCCGCTGCCATGCACCCTATGCGCCGCCCGCCCTGCCGCCGCCCTCCACACCTTGGCGCGGCAGCCGAAGCGCAGGCTGGAAAGCGTCTCTGCGTCGTTGAACAGGCTGGGGGAGCAGCAGATGATGAGCACGGTGCGCGCGGTGCCGCCCAGAGAGTCCTGCAGCACCCGCGTCAGCTTGCTGTCCCTGCGGGCGGGCGACGCGCCAAGTAGCAGCGGCCTCCGACGGGCGTGAGAGGCACAACGGATGCGCACCTGGGCAGCGCTGCCACTGCCATGGCG